CTCGCGTCCCCATGCCCGGCTAACTTTTGTCTTTTTAGTAGAGACGGGGTTTCCATTCCTGACCTCAGGTGATCCAGCTGCCTTGGTCTCCCAAAGTGCTGGGATTACAGGCATGAGCCACTGCACCCGGCCTACTTCATTATATTTAATCCTCAGCACAACTCCAGGAAGCCTCTTTATAGAAGAGGCTGAGAGGCTAAGAGGTTTGTCCAGGGCCACAGGGCCTGCCAATGAGTCTGAGTTGCTGCTGTGCCAGATACACGCTTTATCCCTGAGCCCCACATCCCTCAATAGAGGATCAAAAATATTTGGGGAATATAAAAATAAAAAACAGTACAACAATAAAAAAGAACACAAATTAAAGAACAATGCGACAGTTATTTATATAGTATATCCACCGTAATAGGTATTACAAGCAGTTTACAGATTTTTCTTTTTTTTTTGAGACAGAGTCTTACTCTGTCATGCAGATTGAAGTGCAGTGGCACAATCATGGCTCACCGCAGCCTCAACCTGCTGGGCTCAAGCGAGACTCCCACCTCAGTCTCCCCAGCAGCTGGGACCATAGGCATGTGCCACCATGCCTGGCTAATATTTCTTCCTTTGTAGAGTTGGAGGTCTCATTATGTTGCCAGAACTGGTCTTGAGCTCCTGGGCTCAAGCGATCCTCCTCCCTCTGCGTCCCAAAGTGCTGGGATTACAGGCGTAAGCCTGGCCCTTAGAGATGATTTAAAGTATATGGGAGAAGCTGGGAATAACGGTTCATGCCTTTTGTAATGTCAGCACGTTAGGATGCTGAGGTAGGAAGACTGCTTGAGCCCAGGAATTTGAGGCTGCAGTGAGCCAGGACTGTGCCACTGCGCTCTAGCCTGGGTAAAAGTATGTGGGGAAGTTGCATGTACGTTATATGTAAATACAACGCCATTGTATATAAGTGACTTGAGCACCCTCTGATTTAGTTATTCTCAGGGAGTCCTATTCCAATTCCCTGCAGATGCCGAGGAAGGACCGTACTTCATCTCCATTGCTTGCACTCTGTCCACCACTCAATGCTGCTCTGAACACCTGGAGTTTGAGTGTATCATTTGACAAGTGACGTGAAGGGCACCCTTGCCCTGCCACCATACTTCCCAACAGCTGAGAAAAGCCATCACTAATAAAAGCAACTCCTAGGCCTGAATTACAGGCTACAGAGCCTTAGGAATCTGCAGACAGCCTATGCTAGAACATGACGACTCAATGTCCCTAAAGAAACAAGAGCTTGGAGGAAATATACCAGGGAGGGGATGGAAATGGGGATGAGGAAGTGACCACAACTGGCTGTACAAGAGGTTGGGGTTAAAAATCCCAAGTTTCAAACATCAAGCCTCCTCCCCCTCCTCCTCCACCATATTTATTACAACACCATCTCAGTGTGGAAAGTAACTCAGCCATTTATGGCATAATTACCCAGACTTTAAAATGGTGTAATCCACAAGCCTAGCCAGCCTAGGTTCCTTACTCCAGCCTTATTAACAGTGGGATCTCACTACAACTCCAGCTAATTACACAGTCAATGAGATGGAAAAATCTACTGTGATCTATTAAAAAATCGTTGCCCCCTGAAGTCATGTATCTGGGGGTGGGTTGAGTCCCAGAATTTCACTAGAAGACAGCAGGCGCCTCGGCCTCCGCTGAAATTGTTTACAGCACATGGACAGGTTCCACCACAAGGCACATTCGGTGGAACTGATTTAAGGCTCTCATTAAAATGTTCCTTTGTTGAGCACAAGACATACCCCCACCCCTGAGGAGACTACAGACCTCCTGTCCCAAGCCCTCAGCCTGCCCTAACTTCCCCCAACAGGATCCCCCACAACACACACACACTAAACAGCAGTCACCAGATTAAGTCAATTAACATCCGAGTCATCTTCTCATGGAAAGAATTTAGGAATGTAGCATTTGTTGAGCAAGAGCCCCATCTTCACCAGAATCTCCCCCTGACTCCAGAACTCTGAACAGCAGCAGTGAATGCAGCCTCACTGGGCAGACCCACATACCAAAACCCAACCAGGAGAGCCAGGAGGTCTGTGAGCTCCGGCTGCTGGCCCAGATGTCTGGGCCCCCATCCTGGCTGTACAAAAAACTTCCATACTTCCTCTGGGAGCAGATGTGGATTCTGCCATGAGCAATAACCGCCACACACATCACAAGAAACACGGGCAACTCCAGAAACACCACCTCCAAATCCCTGGAGCTTGCTCTCTTTCCTGGGTTACATTTACCTCTCCTTTTACAACTGGGGGCATGGGAGATGTTGATTCCACCAGCACCAAAACCCCTCCACAGCTGGCAGGCCAGAAAGATGTCAGAAAGGCAATTCTCTATTCATGCCGTCTTCAAAGGAAGGGGAAGGTGATCACTTAGGACAGGTCTCCCGGACAGAGCTCCCCAAGAAGAAGCTGCTTCGAGGACCACCGAAGAGTTTGTGTTTTGGAGGGTGGGGGGCTTTATTTTCAGTCCGGGCTGTTTGGGATGTGAGGGTGGCTTGGTGCTTTCCTGTAAGGCACTACAACACCTCAGTGATGACTCTTAGGTGTGACCAAGCCAGGAAATAAAAGCTGCGGGGGCTGGGGGAGCCGTGCTGCCTGCCCTAGTGATGAGGGCCACACCCTCATTAAAATGCTAAGCAACCCCCCAACCCCCAGGAAAAGCCAAAATGAGCGCTTTTGGCCTTTCTGCTCTTAGAAAGATTTCCTTCCCTCTGTGAGGACAGCCAGGATGGAAATCCAGGAAGGCGCAGAACAAACCCCGTCCGCACCTTTGCAGGCAGGCCATGCCCGATTTTGGCAGCGGCCTTCACACATTAGTCACCGCAACAGCCTGGGACCCTCTGCTCCCCGGATTCGACCCTGGCACGGAGTGGGCGCAGGGTTCCAGCCCAGTAGCTAGAGGCCATGGGGCAGCCCCTAATTCTTCCCTTCTTCCGCCCTCACCCGCACGGCCATCTGGGGTCCCAGCTCTGCCCAGGAACTTGGAAGAGGGAAGCCAGGAGCGTCGGGTCGGCGTAGGTAACAAAGCTCCGGGCTTTGCGTGCCGCAGGTCAGTCCGGCATCGGGCCCCAAACCGGCCACTCTCACCTGGACTGAGCCTGCTGGGGGGGCTCCCTTTTCCCCATCACACCCCCCATGGTGGTTGCGGGTGGTCTTTTCTTCCCCGACAAGAAACTCTCCATTTGGGCCAGAGAGCCGGCAACTCCCGGTAGTTCTCGAGCAAACTCTCGGCTCAGACAGGAAAACTCCGTGAAGCTGGAAATGTGTCCCCACGGCGCGGGTGGGAAGGACCCTGACCGAGTCCGCCAAGGCTTCGCCAGCCTCCCGGCCCCTGGGCTCTTTGAGCCCTTCCGCCGCGAGCCTGCACCCCCAGCAAGCCTCTCCACCACTCCAGGGCCGCTCCAGCCGCCCAAACCCATCTCCCCGGGTGCCGCCTTTTGCCCACGGGACTCCCGCGCTTCCCAAGCTCCGTGCCCCCAGCTCTCGGGAACTCACCGCCCAGCAGCTGCAGCAGCAGGACGCTGAGCAGAGGCAACCGCCGGGGTCCGGCCGGGGATCCCCGCGCAGCTCCCATCGCGGCGGGCTCGGGAAAAGGAGCTGAGGGCGCACGGCAGGCGCCCAGACTGCGCTCCGCGGCGGGCACAGGAGGCGGAGCGCACCCGAACGCGGGCGCCGCAGCAGCAGCTGCAGCCGGAGCCCGACCCCGAGACGTCCCGAGCCGGAGCCGCGCGCGCCCGGTACCTCCGAGACCTTGCGCGCCGCCGCCGCCGCCAAACCCCGCCCCACGACGCCCCCTCCCCTCCGGCCCCCGCACGGCGCCCCACCCCCTCGACGCCCCCTCCTCGCTGAGGCGGGGAGGAGCTCGGTCGGGGGAGGGGTCTGGAGAGGGATGGAGAACGGAGAGACCAAGGCTCGGGAGAGCTCAGGGGACCTGAGCAAGGCAGGGGAGTGTTTGCTGTGCCCACCACCGACTCTCTAGGGACCCAGGAGAACCCAAGTGACTTGTGCGATTCCGTATATCCTGGGGAGAATGGTCCATTCTGGGCTTACCTGGAGGCTCTTGCCAACAGTTCCCCCAGAATTCTCCAGGTTGGGGCAGTGAAGAGGTGGGCCCCGCCCACTCTTCAGCAATACAAAATTTTATGGGAGACCCAAAACAGCAGGGTGTCCTTAATGTCCCCAAGCAGGGTAACCTGAAGATGCTTTGTACCCGAAGAGGGGCTGAAGGGAGTCTGACTGGGGTCTGGTTTGGCTCTAGACCAATCTGAGCCCAAAGGTAGAAACATGCTGGGCTCTGAAAGCCAGGCTGAAGTCTGCTAAACTGACAAATTCATCCCAAGTCCATCTCCAGGCAGTCTGGGCTGTGTCAGGGTATGGCCAAGTCTCCAGCTGTGGGGAGGCCCAGCACAACCGTTGTTCCAGGCACCCCCCACCCCCAGTGCCACCACCCCCACATTCTTTCTTTGTTGTGAAAGCAGCAAGGGGTGTAGGAGGCGGGTCAGTAGGAGTCAGGCTTTAGAAGATGGGCCCCAGCTGCTGCTCAGGCCTCCAAGATATCCTGAGAGGGGATGGATAGTGCCTTGTCTCCCCTCTGGCTCCAGAGAGCCCCCCAGGCCTGCTTAGACCTCCCTTCCCCCAAGCAGCTGGGAGGAGTAACAGCAGCCACAGAGGGCCTCACAGCCAGGAGAAGTGGCGCCAGGACTCCAGGGTCCTGCCACATGGCCACCACATGTCCCTGACAACCCAGTTCACAGCACCTTCTCCATGGGTTGTGGGCCTCCTTCTTCCCCATCCCCCAGATGCCTTCCTACAGGCCCTGCTGGAGATGATACAAACAAGAGGGGGAAGAGAGGAGAGATCCAAGAATCAACACTCCTCCTGCCGCCCCATCCATCACTGCCCCTCACCCTCTGTGAAGGGCCCCAACACAAGCCCTGCTCATACCCTCTCCAATCAGGACTCAAGTTGCAGAAAGGTTACCTGATTCTTTTATTTAAGAAAAGTGAAATACATGGACCTGAAGTGAGACAGCAGAGGGAGGGGATAAGAGCGGCCAGGACAAGGCGGCTTGGCTGGCCAGCCCCCAACCCTCTGACTGAAAAGCCAGCAGCAGGCTGCATCTCTGAGGGCCAAACCTGCTTTGTACCCACCTTGGGGGCCTCAGAGCTAGCTACTCTAGAGGACCACAGAGTGGGGAGAGGGTGTCCTGAGGGTCCTTCCTAAGAGGGATTCCTGAGGAGGGAGCTGAGACCCTAAGGGCAGCAGCAATCTTCTGGTTAAACTGCTCCCCTTCACTGTCCCACCTGGGGTGGGGAAGAGCCAGGAGCAATGGGGAATGCTGTGAGGGCTGTGGGCAGGGACCCAGCAGACCTGGGGGCTGGGTTGAATGTCAACTGCTTGAAGAGAGGTCCATGGTGCTGGCACTGAGGCCCCGGGAGACCTGAAACAGACAACATTATCCCATCAGCCCTGGGACCTCAGCCTCCCATCCTGGAGTTCATTCATCCCATGGCCACGGCATATCTATGGACCTAGGATCAGTTCTATCGCTGGACCTGGGACTCTGTTTAGCTTCTGCTAGGGTTTTCCAGAAGGCCGAAATCTGGTGGAGAAACTACCTGGAAGACCCAGGTGAATAATGGCATATACTTTGTTTTGATACAAGAGATCATTTGCCATTAAAATATTACTGTTTTCTCAGATGGGGATTATTTAATACTTTTCTTTTTCCATTCTCATCTACTACTAGGTCCCTAAGTTGGCTGCAGGAGAAAAAATAATTAGTATCTCCAAATAATTCTTAAATTATTCATAATTCCAAAGTACCGGTTTAGAGAATATTCCTATTTCCCTCCTTATTAACTTATTTGCTACTATGTCTGGCCCGAAACTACCCCTTAGTGATCATCACTCACCGCAAGCTGTCTGCCTGATTCCCTAATGACTGCAATCCCCTGGCTCATCTTCATCCCAGATGACTCTCCCTTCCCTCTTCCCTTAGTCCACTGGGCTTGCTCTCTGGCTGTCCTTTCTTTCTCACCCACCAAGGTGCTCACAAGCACTGCTCTCACCTGGAGGGGTGCTGCTCTAGGTTGGTTCAGATAGTTCAGGGAGGCTGCTCGCTTCATGTTGCTGCTACAATGGAAAATGGAAGAATTGAGGCCTCCCCTCTTCCTCCTGAGTGGCCTTAAAGCTGTGGGCCTTTTGAGCACTGTCACACAAAATCAAATCACCGTCTCCCTTCTGTCCTCCCCCCGCCCACCCATTTCTCTTACCTGCATCAAGAACCAGTATCTCCTCGGGTACCTTCATCCCCCCCTTTGGGGCACCCATTCTGCACAAACTTTCTCTCCATGGCTGTCCCATTTACCTCCTCCCCATCTCTCTCCACGATAATTCTCCAGAGATAAGGGGCCAAGAGGAGTTGGAGGCAGGGGCTTACTTGCCTGCTTTACCATATCTTTTTTTTTTTTTTTTTTT